TATAACTATCACACTTCTCTACAATCACGCATTTTTATATCCCACGTGTGTGATTATAGAGAGGTTTGACTGTATTACATAATGATGTTATTACATAATTAAATTATTACATTTTCGTTGAAAGAAACTTTTTTTTTTGATTTTGATGATCTTGCGTCAGATTACAACTCACGCACGTCAGATGACCAATTGGCAGATGACATGCGTCACCTGGAAATCGGCATCTGACCTGCGTCAAATTAGATCTGACGCAAGAATCGATCTGAGGCACAACAAATATACTATTTATTGCTAAGATTATACATGATCTGGAAGATCGCACGCATTTTTTTTTGCATAACTATGTTATTTTAAACCCCAATTCATATCTCATACAAATCTACCAATGATCCATAATGGAATTTTATTATGATGAATAGATAATGCTATAGTGCCCGTTATATTTCATAGGATCAGATCTGTAAATTGCTAGTGTAATTTCTATTCTTGTCCTATTCTAATATCAGAGACATCGGATTGACTTGTGTAATACTAATTTAAAGATTCATAATAGGTGTAATATGCCAGAACGTTTTGAAAAAAGTTGGCAGATTAATTATTCATTGATATATTCCTCATAGATTTGCAAAAATACATAACTTGCTATATAACATAGGCAGTTAAATACATAGCCTTATCTGCAGGACAAGAGAAGCTAAATAACCTAAATTGAAGATAAGGTATTTTGGTATATTATCATTATGGAACAAACTTATTCTGATGGTAATAAGATTGAGATACATGAATTCTTGGAAGCTTTGAAATTATTAGATAATGAAGTTGTACCCGTCAACATAGATGATGATGACAATAGCAAATCTGATATCGACGAAGAAGATAGTAATGATAAAGATAGTGATGATGATCAGGACAATTATTAGGGCTAGGATCTTAGAAAAATATATACCAGATGGGATTATCAAAGACATTTTAATAAAGATATTTTGAAAAAACTTTATCAAGCCCAGAAAGCTCGTTAATATTTTATTCTTCTTAGTCTATTTATTATGCACCTTTCTAATTTATTTGAGCAAGAAAAAATAGATTATTTGTCGCATTTTTTAGATCTAATTCATTTGAGTATTAGAATACAATGCATTATTGGATGCTCTAGCTTATTCTGTAAAAGGTTTAAATCTTTTCAAATACAATGAACTCAGGTTTGATTTAATAAACAATGCGAAATTGTAACCAAGCTTCTGGTGTTTTTAGATTATTAATATAGTTTAAACCATATTCAGTCAATATGTATCAAGCATAACTATTTTTTCTCCATTTTTGAATATTGGACATGTTTAACATGTGGATTTTATTGACTAAGGCTTTGCAAGCTCGAAAAAAGATCTGGGTTACCAATATATCCAGATTACTGATATATCTAGATTTGAGTGATTTAATCACGAGAAAGCAGAATTTTTATTTCACTTTAACACTGCCAATTTATAAGAAAAAAAATATATTAATATAAAAATATATCTCTTAATTGTGATCTTAGAATAGAATTAGGAAAACGGTGGACAATTTACAGTAAGTCTTACGTTCATGAGGGTCCAACAAAAATTCTCTAAACAAGTGCTTACTACCCAACCCTTCTGGTATTTATTTCTGAATTTCAGCTAAAATTGCATCAATTTTAGCTAATATTGAATCTATTTCTATTGTTTGAAATAACAAAGAACCTGTATTTGGGGTTTTGAACTATTGTCTGTCTCTGGTTCAGAGTCAGACTCCTCTGATTCTGTATCACCTATAGTGTAATTCTTTTTTGCATCTAGATGGACAATCTTATATCTCAATGCTATTCTGTTAAAAAGATCAAGATGCTGGAGTAGAGTCGACCATCAAATTATGCTTTTCTAAAAACTGCTCTAAAACTAATACAAAGTTATTAGTTTTGGGCTTTTAGGTCTTTGGAGTAGTTGCTTTAGTAGACATATCAATAATAAGTAGATTGCAATTATTATCTAGTTATACTAATCTATTTATTTTTCAATTCAAAAAAAATAATTAATAATTTAGAATTTTATTTTGTCTAATTGTAAAGAACTCTCTTATCCAAATACCTTACTTATAAACCAGCTTCTTATTTACTCTTTACCAAAGCATACCATTCTTCTAAAGTATGCTTATATTTTTTTATTATTCCTTATCGGTATCAAGCTATGAGGATGTGATTCCTTTTTTCTCAAGTTCATGCCGGATAATCTCTTCTCCTATTAATCTTTCTCGTACTGTCATTCTCATATTTTCATTTGGGTCTTCTTCACTCTCTTTTGCATAACTGCATATTCGTGTGTCTATTTCCATTTTATAAAGAAATGCAGTAGAATCAAGCCTGTCCTTTTCTGTGATAGTTAAAGCATTCTTCATGCTGGGCCCTGCTCAAAAGTATTGCAAATGATACTTCATTAATAGGCTTGGAAGAATCAGTTTCTTTAGAAGGCATATTAGGCACTACTCCACTTATAAGCCCAATAGGTTTGGAAAGCTTGCTAGTTTCAAGCTAGTCCTTTTGAGACCACTTAACGATTTTTGGTTTAGGTAGTTTAGATGTCTTAAAAGTTTCAGGATTCCCAAATGTTAAAACAACTGGTGCTTCGGCTTCTTCTTTTACATAGTCAAATAGAGCTTGGGTTATATTGTTCTATTTATCTACTTTCTTATCACTAAATGAAAGAATCTTTTCTGGTCGAGACAGGGCTGTTTTTGAAAAAGTGTTTTCTGGCATATTAAATATTAGTATATTTGTTGTCTTATTTTCAGGTATATTAGATTGAGGTATGTCAGAGAATTCTTCAATATCACCTAGGCCAGACTCACAAAGCTTAACTATGATTTTAGGGTGGTTAAAAATATATTGCCATTCACTTTTTCCATTATCTACTCACTTCTGTTTATACTCAATAATATTTTTTTCTGATAGCTTCTTACTGAAAATATTGTTAGATAATGGCTTTTCACCATTATTCCAATACCATTTAAGATATTTTTAATATAATACTTTCTTATTTAACATAAATACGCTATTCTCAACCCAAGTTGCAATGTAGTTAATTAAAAATTAGATAGAATTTAGAAGCTGTTCACGCATTATATCTACTTTTATTTTGGTTGCAGGAATTTTTTCAAGACTTCAATTTGATAAATCACGGCTAAAAAGATATGATATAACTACTCTTGGTGCATTAGGATGGTCTAGAATTTCCCTTAGCTAGTCAAAATATGGTAAATTACCTTTACAGTATGCTGAGACATCAAAACAGACTATACAAAAATCTCCTATATCTATTTTGAGTAAGGCATCCTGATTACTTGTAACTATATACTCAGCATAATCATTTATTTGTATAGTTTCAAGGCTCTTACACTCTATAGCTACCATTTGTTCTGTTATGAGTGATTTGAGATACCCATTAAATCTATGCTATTTTCTACTCGACATTCCAGTTTTATTCAGAATAGTAAGCTTTCGAGCTTGAATAGTACTATTAAAGCATCTAAGAATTTTTTTCAAATCTGATGTTGCAAAATGGTGGTGTAACTCCAAAACTTTGTACCAATAAAATCAGTGATAATATTTTTTTCGCATTGTTGTAATGTAGATTTTAGCACTAAGATAGTTTAGGGCTTCTTCTCTGGCTTCTGTACTAAATATACCTACCAGTTCTAAATATATTTATCAAGTTTTTATTCTCACTACAGATTATGTTCTTTACATGCCAGAGAATCAGTTCCATAATTTCATTATTTATCTCTGCTACCGGTTTGGCTAAAAATTCTATAAAAAGGTTAAAGAACTTTGTATCATAAGCTGGAGTATTTAGCGGATATGATAGAAAATTAATATTGCAGTAAAGGATTAGACCTTTGGTAACTGCCTGATCTATTAAATTAATTAACTTCATTGCTTCTCCTTCTAGCTCAACTAAGTTAATTTTATACTTGGCAAGATTTAGTTTTGGTGCTATATCAAAATACAGTCCACTATTCGTATCCTCTGTTTTGAGTACCTATAATCTTGATGTTATTTGAATATAGACAACTGTTGCCTAAATTGTGTTATAAATCTTATTATGAGAAAATTTCTGTCCAGATACACACATGTTAATTAAATCACCCCATACAAAGTGATTATTGGGATTTGAAATTCTAGATCATTTTAGTTTTATAGGACTTGGAAGTTTTTGTTCTTGATCCAAAACAGTTTTGTTAATAGTAAGTTTTTTTAAAAGCTTTCTCAATCCAGATTGCCTATCTTAGTTTGCTCAGTAGCAGTAAAAACTGTATGATTTTTTATTCATATTATATAGGCATTATCACTATTATGTTCTCAGTCACATATCAGATAGTGTGATGGAGAAATGCGTGATAATGGAAATTTGTCAGGAAAGTTTTCAGATAGGTATAAGAAACTATATCCTTTGATACTAGCTTCTTGAAGCAATTCTTCTACCAGTTCGAATTCAGCATTGGTGGTGATATTATTTATGCCAAGATATCTTCTTATTTCTGGTTTCAGAACAATTAAGAAAGAACTTTCTGTGATTTTTAATTCATCATTTGGTGGGCAAATCATGAAGTCAAAAATGGTTCCTTCTTTGGGATACATTGCTTTTTTCACACAAACATGCTTCTTTGTTTTTTCATTATACTTGGGCGAACCAAGCATTCACAAGGAAAATGAATATTTATTCGCAATATTATCTATAATATTATTCCCCTGAAGAGACGCTGGAAGTTTCTTATGGACAAGTTCAGTAAATATTGCTACCTGAGCGATATTCTTAAGTCTTATACAAGTTGTAGAATTGTGGAGGGATATTTTTTTCGCATCAGTACTACTAGCAACAGTAATACTATTTTTTTTCCACTTTGGAAATATTTCAAGATAAACATCTCTAAAAGCATAATTGAGTATATTTAGTATCTCTTTATGTATAAGCTTAGGTTCAATGCCATCGTGCATCTCTTATAGCAAATCAAAATCTATAATGGGCCAGAGTGGCTCATTGCCATCAATAAATTTATGCAATAAATGACCTTTATAGTTTGAAAGTATGGCTTTGATACCATTCTCATTGTCTGTGCCTAAAAAATTTCTTGTTCTAACACTATCATCATGAATTTTATATAAGCATGCATCTATATCAGAAGCTCTTAACCCACAATAGTACAGGGT